ACAAAATTTATTAAGACAATTTTTTTGTTTATTACCATCCCTTTATGGAGAACAGTCTCAAGTACTAAATATGCACTATTTAATTCATGTAGCTGATGACGTTAAAAATTTTAAGTTGCCATTGAGTGAATTGTCTGCATTTTGGGGGGAAAATTACATAAGTATCTTCAAAAAACTCGTGAAATCATCAAAAAAACCTCTCACGCAAATTATTAACAGACTATCTGAGTTAGAAGCAAGGGAAACAAACAAAATAAGAAGAAAATCGTATTTGGCTAATTGTGTTTTTAAAAATAACAGTACATATAACGATAAAGGAATAGAATATGTCTTTGTTTCCAGTATTACCGTTAATAATTTTTTATTGAAATGTGTTCATCCTGACAATGTGGTTCAATTGAAAAATGAAAAAAATATCAAGATTGATGCGATATTAATGAAAAAAAAACAATACTGAGGAGACGTGTAAATTGCAAGATTTTTTTTTGTTAGGATGTGAATTGATTGATTTCCAAGAAGCTTTTAAATATCCTATCTCATCAAAAAAGGTTAAAGTTTTTGTTGGAAATAAATTTGCGGAATCAAAAGATGTTCCCTCTAAAAGATATACTATGTAAATGTATTCTGTTACATATCAATAATTTACTATACATAATTTCGTTATTGCATACATAATATAATTCTTGTGCACTCGTAAATAATTTGAAATAATTTTTTACATGACTAATTCAAAGAAGAATATTGTACCGCAATTATTTTTATATATAATTTTTATATGTTACTTATTCTCGACATATTCTCCACATATTCTGTAAGAAAATGTAATTTGGTCCTCATGATATTTGATAAGAACAATGTCCATGAACTGTACATCGTAATACGTCAAACGCATGATCATTCAGCGAGAAATATTTCACCGACTTGGTTCTCAAGATATAAATAAAATATTACCATTGATAATGTTAACATTTAATAACACACACATGCACACTCACACACATACACACACCCACACATATAAAGATTATATTAATAAACTGTCAAATATATATATACGCAGCACGTTCAATTTTTTATCAAAACATGATTTATAGTAGCGTTACAATGTCTTTCAATAAATTGAAATTTGAATTTTTCACTATACAGCTTTTTATTTTAATTTCGTAAATGTTGACGTTGATATTAAGTATCATTGCCGAGCCATTATATATTGTTTGCCATTCTTAGTACCATGTTGTCCCTTGTGTAATCCTATGCTACGCTAGTAATTTTTATTAATATCCGGCTGGCGCTATTATCGCACACTGGACCAATACTGAGCCGATATTGTTGTTAGTACTGCGCCAGTTTTTGCCCCGGAACTCTGGTAACCAGTACAAACATAATATTAGGCCAGTAGTGATCCCAGCATTGGGCCGAATCTTTAGTAACCAGTACTGTCCTAATACTAAGCCTATTGTAAAGCCTATTCCTGAGCCAGTACTCGACCAGTGCTACACCGGAATTCTGGTAATCAGTAGTGGACCAGTATTGGGCCAATAATGTTTCCAGTGTTGCGCCAGTACTGCGTCGGGACTGTGGGTAACCGGTACTGACTGAGTATTGGGCCAATGTTCTTTCTAACTGTGCCCGTTCCGTAACTTAGGTAATTTAGTATTGGGGCAGTACTGGGCCGATTGTAAAGCTAATGTTGACCCAATACTGGAAAGCTACGGCTGGGCCAGTACTGTTTGCCAGTATTGGACCGGAGTTATCATCCATGGTTGCACCCAGTGTTGCCAACTTGGTGGTTTTATCGCTAGATTTGGTGGTTTTGAAAGATTTTTGGTGGTAGGAATTATCGGTTTAGTGGTTAGCGGGAAATTTAGTTATTTCAAGATGATTTTAGTAGAAAATTTGGTGATTTTAGGTAATTTGGTGTTTTTAGCGGGAATTTTGGTGATTTTAAGATAATTTGGTATTTTTTTCGGGAATTTTGGTATTTAATGTAGTTTGATATTTTAGATAAATTTTATAATTTTATGATAACAGTGTGTAAGAACCAATCACGTATTCACGTTCGACTGCTACTGAGAATGGTCTGCACTCTGCAGTCAGTTCAGGTGTAGAGAATGGTTGCTACGTCGCTACGTGTGGCTAGTGGCTAGTGCAGAGTGCAGGCTACTCGTCAACGTGTGTGGATACGTGAGACTTGAGAGGGAGAACAGTGTTTGCCGATTGGCTATTTCGAATTGCATTTATCGCGCAATTTCATCGTGGATGCGATCTCGTCGCATATGATAATTTTCTCCTTACATTTCGCCGTTTTTCGCGACACGTTGAACCTGAAACGGACATCGAGCGCGACGTCGAGTCGAAATTCGAAATCCGTTGTATATAAAGTGTCGTGTCGAAATCCGTTGTATATAAAGTGTCGAAAGCGTCCATCGATTTGCGTGGCACGGCCCGAGCTCGTGCGGAGAAAAAAAAGGTAAATATTGCAGTGTGGTGGAATTTTTGGGATTATCAGTCTTACGCTCGTTTTTACAGCTTACAGGTAGAGCACTGCCGATTGGCCATTTCGAATTGCATTTATTGTGCAATTTCCATCGTGGATGCGATCTCGTCGCATGTGATAATCAGAATCTCCTTACATTTCGCCGTTTTTCGCGACACGTTGAACCTGAAAGCGTCCATCGATTTGCGTGGCACGGCCCGAGCTCGTGTGAAGAAAAAAAAAGTAAGGAGAAAATTCTTCGTGATTTATTGTAATGGCCAGTCTACAATGAGTCGTTAGTCGTTAGTCAGATGTCGGAAGAGAGTCGAAAAAAATCATAAACGTGTCATAAGGCGATCGGAAGTCTGTAATCGGCAATCATAAGCGATTGGCCAAATGCCATCTTTTACGATCACCAATTACAGGCCTTCGATTGCTTACAATACGCTATAACTATTTCTTCCGACATCTGACTAACGACTAATGACTCATTGTAGACTGGCCATAAACGTAATGAAATTCTGAGGTAATAAGTTGCAGGACTTGTAAAGTAGATCTCTATAAAGGGAAAATTGTTATGTAACAGAACTGATTAAAGAAATTTTGCTGATAAGCAGTTTTAATCATACAGCAGAAATTAATTCCTTTCTGTTTTTGCTATGATTAAAATTTTGCTGTCTTGCTGATGCGGTTTCATTGTTTTTATTGATTTATATGGTCGGAAATCGCGTGAAATCCTGATCGAGGAAAACAAGGTACAGCGTATTGACTCACCTGTGACAGTAACTATCTCTATTTCTTGTACACAGATTCGAGTATTACTTCCTTTTCTTAAGATGAGCAAAGACCCAAAAAATAAGCGGTATACTCAAAAATTCAGAAAAGTTTGGCTAACGGACATACAATTGAAAGAATGGATCGTTCAGGTATGTATATATATGTGTGTGTGTGTATATATATATATATATATATGGGGTGCTTTCCATTTAGTAACACAAGTTGACACAAGCGTCGTTTTGTCTTTGAATTACTTATTGAATGTCAAGAAAGATAGTGCAATGTGACTTTGTAGCCATTTTTCATAACAGTTAACACACCTTGTATAAAAACAAAGGATGAAACGATGTTTAATTTTAATTCCGATACGGAAACTGATTCATCAGTTGTGAACAAAAATAAAGAGCCAAATAAAAGTCCATCGATGATTTCTACTCCAATTACACCACAACTAAAAAAGGGACTTATGATGAGACAATCTCTACTTAGAACTTCTACGCAAATGAAAAAAAGTAATACATTAAAAGATAAAGTTAACAAGACAAATTATATCACAAGTTATATCTTTCACCAATAAACATGCATGAAACTTTTTATCTGCCTACAGAACAAACTGCAAATGAAATGGATAATTTTAATTTGGATGACCAGGATGACACAGAAAACAAGCCACCTGAAAAAAAGTAAATATTACTTACTAATTGTGGTAATCCCGGGAAAAAAACCGAAGCGGTCTTATATGGTTTTATATGCTCATATATGCTCATATATGAATTTTGGCCACATAAACTCTTATATGGTCATATATGATTATATAAGATTATAATAAAGACATATAAGAAATATCAATATTTCTTATATGTCTTTATATAATCTTATATGATCATATATGACCATATAAGAGTGTTTGAGATCGTAAACTTTAGCATCAGGACGAAGTCGCGTTCGGCTGCATGTCAGCACATGCACGCCTGCAGTAAATTGAGTAAAATCAGTAAATTAATATTCGCGTGAAATGCCGTTCAAAATTGTCACGGAAATATTCGGTATAGCATGGATCTTTCGGGATTAGCTTTCTCGAAACTTTAACATTGTCATCAATAATAAAGTCAAACAACAACGCTAAAACAAAGGAACGATCCATGCTATACACAAAGCACTCGAAAACAGGCGACGACCCCGTCGGGTCACCACGTGAAAACGGTGACGTCAGCTCCATGACGCGAGACTCCGACGACCAATCACCCTCCCGAAATTCTGAGAAATCTGCAGGGAGGGAGTTTCGCCTCGGAGGAGTTAAAAGGACCGCCGCTGCGCCGCGGAATCGATTTCGCTCGCAGATCACCGCTAGTATCATTATACACCCGCTTTGCTTCACCGCTCATCACCGCTTTTCGCACTTAAGTGTTATATCGCCGCTTTCGCCGATAAGCCGAGCTAAACTCTGTGCGCGCTCTCGGTATTTTGCCTGAAAGGGAAACTCGTGTAAATAACTGTACATATATTGAACATTAAACTTTGTATTTCTGTACTTGCTGTTCCTCTCCGTTTCTTTTGTGGTCGTCCTCTACCGCGCGCTCTCGAACAAAGAGCTTATACGGCCAAAATTCATATATATAAGCATATAAGACCATATAAGACCGCTTTGTTTTTTATCCCGATGTAAGTTGCTTTTATATATCTAATGAAAACATTATTTACAGATACAGAAGATCAAAAAAAAAAGGATACTTCACAGCAGCTTAATATGCGCCGTAAAACTGACAGAGCAAAATTAAAGGGCTGGGATTGCTGGGAATGCAGAAAAGTAAGTATACAATATTAACAATATAGTTACATAAAATATGTACCTTCTTTTAATGAAATATATACATATATATATATATTTCATTAAAAAGTAATGATGTTATTTTATTTTATTATTTTATTCATGATATTATTTTATTTTTAGTATTATAAGAATTTGTCACTGTCAAAGGAAGAATTAGAAAAACGGAGGAATCGATCCTCGCGACATCGACACAAATATGAGCGACCAAATACACCAGAAGGTATAATATTTTATTTCATTATTACTTTTATGTCATATATAATAAAAAAACAGAAGTCGTTTTTGTTTGACCCGACTGGCCAAATAATTAATTTATTTAAATTCACATAAATGAATTTAAATTCAAATAAATTAATTATTTGGCCAGTCGGGTCGAACAAAAACGACTTCTGTTTTGAATTTATTTACTGGTGAAGGAAGCTATTTGTTTGTATATATAATAAATATAATTTGTTTAAAGGTTTTTGGAATCCTGAGTTTCCTGAGACATCAGGTACTTATTGACAGAATAAGGTAAAATATTTCGTTATTCGAATCTGATTCTTAAAGCTTCATTGCAATTCGTGGTACATTATTATAATATGACGTGCACAATCCTTTGGTTAATATATTGAGTAATCAAGTGATGGCTCGTAGTTCCATATTGTTTCTTTTTAAATTTATATTCATAATGTTAACATCTGTGACATTTTTGTATCTCATCAATTTGATGTCACTTTGACATCATTTTGACTAAGTTTTTTTCACTTGGTATAGACATTTGTGTCAATTTGTATTATTATAAATGGAAAGCATCTCTATGGTCTTTATACATATATGTATGCATAGTTTAAACAATTCGATAAAGTCTGCTATAGAAAAAATATTACATATTATATCAAGGTTTTATATTTTATAACATAAAATTTAATGAAAAAACAGGTAGCGGGCAACGATATGAAGGCTCACTGCAAGTTCTGCAAAAACGACTTAGCGGCAAAATACGTGGATCTAATCAATCACAGCAAAACAAAAAAACACATCGAAGCTGCAGAGCCATTCTCTTCACAACGGCAACAAAAATTATCTTTTTGCGAACAATCGACGAGCTCGCCAGCTGCCGAAGGGTCAATAGCACTGTTTCTCTGCGTGCATAGCGCAATTGCTTCGTGCGATCATTTAGGTAAAATGTGCATTCTTCATTTCAAGGACAATCAGGCAGTAAAAAGGATGAAGATGCATAGAACAAAATGTAGTGAAATAATAAAAAATGTACTTGGCCCTTACTTCAACAACGAGTTGCTCAGCGATATTGGGAACGGAAAATACAGTCTACTATTAGATGAGTCAAACGACGTATCCGTGAATAAACTGTTGGGTAATGTCATAATATACTACAGCGATAAACAGGGAAAACCGATCTCGAGTTTTCTAGCACTGACCAAGCTGGAAACATGTAATGCCGAAGGTATCGTCAACGCTCTAAAAAAGACCGAGGAGATGAAATTGGATTTACAAAATTTGTTAGCTATTGGAACTGACAATGCTTCAGTTATGGTCGGAATAAATAACGGTGTTTCAAAACTGAAAGCCGAAGTTCCGTCGCTGATTTTGATCAGGTGTCTTTGCCATTCGTTGCAGCTCGCCGTGTCACATGCCATGATTGATACTCTTCCGCGAAATCTCGAGTTTTTAATTCACGAGACCTATAATTGGTTTTCAAAATCCTCTATGCGTCAAATAAAATACACTCAGTTTTATGAGACAATAAACTGTGGTGAACGCCCTTTGCAAATATTACAGGTTTCTGACACGAGATGGCTGTCTATAGAAGCAGCTGTAGATAGAACGTTGAATCAGTGGCTCGAGTTAAAAACTCATTTCAATATGACGAGACTGTCAGAGAAATGCTATACTGCGGAAAATCTATACAAGATGTATTGCGACGAAACAAACTTGTTGTACTTGTTGTTTTTAAAGCCGATTTTATCTGAGATACAAGTTGTGAACAAGGCATTTCAAAGCGAAAAAAATGATCACTTGAAGCTTCTGAACGATCTCAACATCGTCGTGCAAGGAATTTCAAAAAAACTCGTGTTGCCATCGTGTAAAGTAGATCCTTTGTTGAGTTCATCGACGATTATCTTGATCCCAAGCCATACTTAGAATATTCATTCGAGAAAAAAATTGAGCAGCTCAGGAAGGACGGAAAGATCAACGCTTGTGACGAGCAAGGGATCCGCGAACGATGCAAATCATTTTTACTGAACCTTTTCAAGCAGCTCAAACAACGATTGCCCGAGAACGTAGCTATTCTTAAAAAGATATCACTGCTGTCAGTGGATAATGTATTGAAGGCAGTTAAAGAACCAATACAATCATTAGTCGAATACATGAATGGTTCAGAAGATATCGATGCTATCAAACTGCAACTCTCAAAAATCAATTTGATTGACTGGACAAACAAAACCGATACCATTAAATTTTGGGATGAGGTGAATAAATACAAGGACGCATCCGGATATTTCCGTTCGCTGAATTGGCCGCTTTTGCTCTATCGATGCTCATTCTGCCGTATTCGAACGCACAAGTTGAGCGGGTATTTAGCCAATTAAATTTGGTGAAAAATAAAGTACGGAATAAAATGTCTATCAAAATGACGAATGCAATTTTAACGATTCGTTTCGGACTGAAAAGAAACGGCAAATGCTGCCACAATTACGTTCTGCCACCAGAAGTTTTACGTCAAATTGGTTCCAAAGAAGCCTACAAAAAAAAAGCAGCCGAGTCAAGCTTGCAAGTAACTGACAAGAATGATGATGATATCAATTTTTGTTTCAATGAATGTGATCAGTTTTAAAACTTTATTTATAAGACATGGTCGAAAATTAGCGCGAGTCGTGAATCTTCTTTGTACAATCTCATTTTCGGGATATTTGCTCTTACTTAATCTAATTATATTCATCGAATGTATCGTTTCGATTCTGATTCTATGTCAACTT